CCAGCATTTCAGTTTTCTCTTCTCAGTGCCCCTGCATCAGGAATCTGATCGTTACCACTGTCCCTGGGTCCTTCCCTTTCCTCAGACTCCTTCGGTGATTTTACTTGTCTTCTATTAAAGGAAACCCCTTCAGGATCTGGCAGCTGCCTGTCTCTCTTTCCTCATCTTTTTGCAATTCCTCCACTCAAACTCTAGGTACCGACTTTAAAGAACCACCTGTAATTTTTCAGATACTCCCAGGTAAACATGCTTCTAAGACTGTATACTGCTATTTGCTTTACATGAAATGTCTTTCACATTTCTCTATCTGCTTGATTGTTTAATCTCTCCCCTTGGGCATGAGTCCTTCAGTTTCTTCACTCTTGATCTTAGTTCTTTCTTCCTTTTTTAATGAAGTGCAATCGACATACAATACCCTCTTTATTTCAGGTGTACATCGTAGTGATTCAATATACACTACAAAGTAATCCCCATGAGAAATCTAGTTGCTTACATCTGTCACCACACAACGTTATTACAATATTATTGACAGTGTTCCCTGTGCTATACCTTGCATCCCAATGATTTATTTATTTTATACCTGCAAGTTTGTACCTTCTAATCATCTTCACCTATTTCACCCAACCCTCAACCCCTCCACCCCTCCCCCTATGGCAACTAACAGTTTCTTTCCTGTATCTTTGAATCTGTTTCTGTTTTGTTTTTTAGATTCCACATGTAAGTGAAATCATCACTATTTGTCATTCTCTGGCTTATCTCACTTAGCATAATACTTTCTAGATCCATCTGTGTTGTCACAGATGTCATGATTTCATTCTTTTTTGTGGCTGAGTAATATTCCCTTGTATATATACAGCACATCTTCTTTATCCATTCATCTGTGTATGGACGCTTGGGCTGCATCCATATCTTGGCTACTATAAATACTGTTGCAGTGACCATAGGGGTGCATATATCTCTTTGAATTGGTGTTTTCATTTTCTTCAGATAAATACCCAGAGGTGGAGTTGCTGGATTATACAGTAGTTCTATTCTTAATTTTTTGAGGAATTTCCATGCTCGTTTCCATAGTGTCTGCACTAATTTACATTCCCACCAACAGTGTTCAAGGGTTCCCTTTCTTCCATATCCTGGCCAACACTTGTTCTTTCTTATCTTTTTGGTAATAGCTATTCTGACAGGTGTGAGGTCAAACCTCATTGTTTTGATTTGAATTTCCCTGGTGACTGCTAATATTGAGCATCTTCTCATGTGCCTGTTGCCCTCTGTATGGCTTCTTTGGGAAAATATCTATCCAAGTCCTCTGTCCATTTTTTAATCAGGTGGTTTGGTTTTTTTGATATTAAATTGTGTGTGTTCTTTGTACACTTTGGATATTAACCCCTTGTTAGTTTTGTGATTTGCATATATCTTCTCCCATTCAGTAGGTTGTCTTTTTGTTTTGTTGATAGTTTCCTTCACTGTGCAAAAGTTTTTAATTTGATATAGTCCCATGTGCTTGTTTTAGCTTTTGTTGCTCTTGCCTGAGGAAACTGGTCCGAAAAAATACTATTAAGACCAATGTTCAAGAATTTACTGTCTATTATTTTATTCCAGGAGTTTTATAGTTTCAAGTTTACATTCGAGTCTCTATCTTGATTTTATTTTTGTATGTGGTATAAGATACTGGTCCAGTGTCATTCTTTTGCATGTGGCTGTCCAGTTTCCTCAATACTGTTTATTGAAGACACTGTCTTTTCCCCACTGTATATTCTTGCCTCCTTTGTTGTATGTTAATTGGCCATCTAATGTGTAGGTTTATTTCTGGGCTCTCTAGTCTATTCCATTGATCTGTGTCTCTTTTTGTGCCAGTACCATACTGTCTTGATTGCTGTTGCTTTGTAGTATAGCTTGAAATCAGGGAGCATGACACCTCCAGCTTTGTTTTTGTTTGTTTTTTGTCTTTGTTTGTTTTCCTTCAAGATTGCTTTGACTATTTGGGGACTTATGTGGTTCCATACAAATTTTAGGATTATTTTTTCTAGTTCTTTGAAAAATGCCATTGGTATTTTGATGGGGATTTTGTGGACTCTGTAGATTGGCTAGGGTAATATGGACAGTTTAATAATATTAATTCTTCCAGTCCATGAGCATGGAATAACCCTAATTTATTTGTGTTGTCTTTCATTTCTTTCATCAGTGTCTTACAGTTTTCAGTGTCCAGGTCTTTCACATCCTTAGTTAAATTTATTCCTAGGTATTTTGTTCTTTTTGATGCAATTGTAAATGGGATTGTTTTCTTAATTTCCCTGGTAGTTTGTTATCAGTGTATCGAAACACAGTCGATTTCTGCATATTATTTTGTACCCTGACACTTTACTGAATTTATTTATTAGTTCTAATAGGTTTTTGGTGGAGTCTAAGAGTTTTCTATATATTGTATCATGTCATCTGCAAATAGTGACAGTTTTACTTCTGTCCAATTTGGATACTTTTTATTACTTTTTCTTGCCTAATTATTCTGGCTAGGACTTCCAATACTATTTTGAATAAAAATGGTACAGTGGGCAGCTTTGTCTTAATTCCTTCTCTTAAGGTGAAAGCTTTCAGTTCACCATCGAGTGTGATGTTAGCTGTGGGTTTGTCATATATGGCCTTTATTATGATGAGGTACATTCCTTCTATATCTACTTTGTTGAGAGTTTTTATCATAAATGGATGCCAAATTTTGTCAAATGGTTTTTCAGCATCTATTGAGATCATCACCCTTTGTCTCTTTAATGTGGTGTAGCACACTGATTGATTTGCAGATATTGAACCATTCTTGCATCCCTGCAATAAATCCCACTTTATCATGGTGTCTGATCCTTTTAATGTACTTTTGAATTTGTTTTACTACTATTTTATTGAGGATCTCTATTACATCTCTAATACATCTCTATTCATCAGGGATATTGGCCTCTAATTTTCTTTTTTTGTGGTATTTTTTGTCTGGCTATTCAATCAGCCCTCAGATCTTCAGGGGAAATTGCTCCGTATATAGGTATAGATTTGGTGTGTTCATGGGAGGAGGTGAGTTCTGGGTCTTCCTGCACCAGTCTTGGATGTCCTTTATCTTAGTTCCTAACACAGACTAGACGGATGCTGAGTGAATGCTGCTGGATGAGTGAGTGAATCGGGATGAAGCAGATCCTACTTACCATTGTTTCTTCATAACGTTCTTCAATGAATGTTAACTGGTTTCCTTTTTTCCCTCTCCTCCTTCCTTTCTCTTTAACCATCCCTGCATATCTCTGACTTAGGAAATACAGCTCTGTCCTGGTCAAAAACTTTCAGTGATTTACCATTTCCTGAAGAATCCGTTTCATGCTCAATATCATTTATACCCTCAAGCAGTGAATATTTCATCAACCTGTCCAGCAGCATTTCTTGTTTCTGCTTGCCTACCTCCAGACTCCAAACGTACTTCTTATCCATTCTGTTATCACAGCCTGTAGCGTGCAGTTTTGTTTATGCCTTACCTTCATCCTGGTGTTTCTTCCCCAGTCTCTGCCTACTGAATTGACAGTCAGAATGTCCCCTGCTCCAATCAGAAATAATCCTCCATTCTGTGTCCTCCTATATCACTTTAATTTTTTCCTCCATTGTGGTATATATCACATTCTGCTTCATATTATAGTCTTTAGTTTTTATTTCATTTTTGTATATGTATATTCTAGTAGATTACAGACTCCTTGAGTTAAAGCTGAATTGGTTCAGCCTTGAAATCCACAGGCAAGCTAGCTTGGTGCTGTTTAGTCAGTGTGGAAAAAACATGGGCTTTGACTTAGGCAGGCAGTGGTTTGAATCTCTATAATGTCACAAAAGCTCTGAGATCTCTTTCATTTTTTTCTACCCATTTCCTAACTTGTAAAAGGAAGATAATAATACCAAATTTGCAACATTATTATGCAGATTAAATGAAATAATATATGTAAAGTATATAGCTTAATGCAATGGCCCTCGGCAGAAATGCAATAAATGGTTATTATTCTCATTGCTATTACTGGTACCATAGTAGGGAATCACTATTGGACGAAGGCTTTGTTTTGTTTGCCTGAGCTCTTGGTATTAATGGTTTTCATTTGATTGTGTGGCTAACTTCTAGCTGAATATAACTGAAGCTAGAAATTACCCATTAGCCTTGCTGTTAAATATGAATCTTCCCCCCCTTTTTTTTTCACTATCTTACAATCTTGTATTACTTATTCTGGTACTACAGCATTTTCCTGGCAAAAAGGGTTGTTTGCTTCTTCTGTTTTTCCACTAACGGAGGGCAAAATCACTTCCAGGATTTGTGAAAACAATTATTCAAGCCTTAATCCTTTTTTAATTCAGTTTTTTCTGTGCTATTTTGTCGTAGAGAATATGAATTGAATTTCCTACTTTTAGAGTTATTGAAACCTTCCTTGGCCTCCAGGTTCTGGCACATCTTACTCTCCCTCTTCTGTTAACTGTTGTGGAGTGTATATGTCCTAAGCCCAATGGCACCATCCAAATGCACAGTTCCTTATACCAAAGAACTTGCTAAAATTGAAGTCAACTAAGGGAAAGGACATACTATGCTTCTGTGAATTATTAGGAAAGATAGGGTCCAGCTCACTCTTCATTTGAACTAGGTGCTTTGTGCTTATTATCAATTAGAGTTTTCCTAGAATTGAAATTATGGGAAGATGATTCAGTGTGGGGAAATACCTAATGTCTCTTTTCTCCTTTTCCAACTGAAATAATGATGAAATCATCAAAGAAAGAAAAATTACTCTTGTATAGCTACAAAAAATGACAAGACTTGATCATATATATTTAAAGCATATGCATCATCTTCCACCCTGGTGAGAACAGATTAAGCAATAGCACTAGGAATTGACTTAAGACCAAGACCCTGGCAGAGGAATGCAATACTTCCAGAGATCAAAATACTGGAAAAGGAGAAGGAATCAACTTCAGTTTCACCAACTGATAATGATGATGATGATGGTGGTGGTGGTGGTCATAGTGGTGGTGGTGGTGATGGTAATACATAACATTTAGTAGGCAAATTGTCAGGCACTGTGAAAGACAATTAGTGTTCATTATTTCATGCATTTAAAATCCCTGTGTGGTAGGCATTGCTATTTTTATATCCATTTTACAGTTGAAGAAACTAGGGCTTCAACAGCTAGTCTTACCCAATGCCACATAGTCTGTAAAGACAGAAGTGGGACTTAAACTGAAGTCAGTCTAACCTGTTATCAGTCTTCTTAATCCCAACGCTGTGCTGATAAGGCTACAAACCTTCTTTCTGTAAGTGAGAGTGAGGTCAGAGAACAGTACAGGACTTCTCTAGTAGTTCTCAGCCAGAGCAGAAGCGCCAATCAGCCAAATCATCACTTCCAAGGGCTTTTAGGAGAGGGAGCTGCAGATTGATCAAGGGAAAACTCTTAGAAACCCCTTATGGCAGGGACATCATGTTAAACTGTTAGGAAGGGGAGAAAGATAAAATATATATGACTTAGATACTGTTTCCTAAAGCCAATTTTAGTAGAGCAGTCTGCCAGTAATCCCACTCCAGTGCATAGCAATTTTAGACTGCAAAAGCTAAGCAGAGGAGAATAATAGTGAGCTTACAGTTGGTGTATGTACCTCCTGATTCTCTGTAAGAGAGACATTTTGCTAATAATTTCCATCTGGCTATGAAAATGGCACAATTTCATCCAACAACCCGGAGGAGTGAAGTTCTCTAACCCACCCTTGAGCTTTTTCCAGCAGACCCAGATCCTGTTTGAAATATTTGGACTTTCAACAATTTTACTCTTAGCTTATCCCCTAGCATCCACAGCCCACCATCAGATGTCCCATTAATATACCACTGACAACTCTTTAGACAGATTCTCTAAGATTTAACAAAATAATCAGCCCAAAGGGTATACATACTCATAAAATAATAAGTGGCCTCACTGAGATAGTTAACACACAAAACAAGTAAAAAAATATCTCCTTTCCCCCGCAAAAAAACATGGAAGTCAACCTTACTATTAAAATAGATCTCCCATTGGCAATGGAAAATTTATATAATGCCAAATGTCTATTCTTAGGAAATAAAAGCAAATAAAGCTATGATGAAATAAGGATAGAAAAGTGAAATTCCATAGCAAAAATAATAATGATGATGATGAAAATAATAATAAGAGTAATAACTCACATGAGCGTTTGAAGCAAAATAACGTATTTTGATTCTAAGACATTTTCACATTTTAACGCCTCTGAAATAGGGATCTTCTTAAGTAATCGCCTTTTTCAGATACTTTCATTCACACCACAATGGTAAAGTATGATGCCCCTTTGAAAATATGAAAGAGATGGTGTCATTTCTGCTCGAAGCTTCCTGGCCTAGGATCTCACCCCGTAAAATCCATGAATTTTACCACAAACTGCATGGCTCACTAGGATATGGTCACCCGTTCCTTCTGTGACTTCATCTCCTAGAACCTTCCCTTTGTTGTTCACTCCACGACGTGCCACGGCCATGCTAGTCTCCACGCTCTTCTCGGGCCATCCAGGCAAGCTTCCACTTCCAGGCTGTTGCCCTGTGGTTTCCTTTGCCAGGAATGATTTTTCTCCTGAGAGTCTCATGGTTCACTCTCACATTGACTCCAGATGTTTAATCAAATGACACTTCCTCATTTAGGCTTGCCCCTGTCATCTTATGTGATCTTGCATTATCCTACATCCCCTACTTTTCTGCTTCATTTTTCTTTTTAGCATTAATTTTTTGATCGATAGTTCCTGTTTCATTTACCTTGCTTTTGGTTTGTCTCTCCCTGGTTGAGTATAAGCTCTGCTACCAGCAGGGATTTTTTTTGTCTGTTATCTTCACTGCTGAATCTCCAAGCCCTAGAAGAATGCCTGGTACAGAGAAGGCACTTAATAAACATGTGCTGAACCTATGAATAAATAGTGTACATAAATAAAGTATGTATAAATATATGTATTAATATGTAAATACACCAAATACAAAACAATAAATTGATGGATTACATGCTCAGAGGTTGGTGGGTGAGATAGGAGGAGGTGTAAATATCACACTAAACCTGTCTGATGGCGCATGGATTCAGTGTCAGGTGTCTTGAGATATAAACCTACCTCTGTTACTAGCTCAGTGGTGTTTGGCAGGTTAATGCCCTGGGCCTCCAGGTTGGGCTGCATAATCGGAGTGGATGTTATAACATGTCAGTTAATTGATCCTTCTAAAAACAGCTGAAAAATGAGGCCAGGAATGGGAAGCTGGGGAATGAAACCATACCTCTTAACATAAATATTATCACCATAAACAATAGTGGTAATGAGACTTAATGCAAAAAATTTTGAGATAACTTGTAGTTCAATTTCCTCTGTTTTATAAATAGTGAAACCCAAGCCCAAGGTTTGAGGGACTTAGCCAAGGGCAAATGCTAATTGGTGGCAGACCTTAGAACTCGACTCAGCATCTCTGGCTGAATCCAGTCTTCTTTTTACTATAGCTGGTTAGTACAAAGGGTAAATGCCGGTGACTTTCCAAACAAAGAATTACTCTTAAGCTGTTTTGATATAATGACTGGCTGAGATTTGATGATGAATTCATTCAGTAACAAGAATAGGTAGATCGTAGATTGATGCTTCTCTCTTTGTGATCTAATTCAGCTTATAGAAGAGATTGGAAAACTTGAGGATAAAGTGGAATGTGCTAATAATGCCCTGAAAGCAGATTGGGAAAGATGGAAACACAATATGCAAAATGATATCAAGTCAGCATTTACAGATATGGCTGAGGAGAATATCCACTATTATGAACAGGTAATTAGTGATATGTGATATTGCTTCATCTTATGAAAGTTATCCTCTCTTTAACTTTCTGTCTGTCCTTTGTTGAAAGAGTCTATTAAGGAACCAAGTGTCACATTCAAAAGCCTCCTTGGTGGCTCGGTGCCAACAGAGTAATGCTGAACCCACCCACTGAAACAAATGTGTTTATGTGGAGGAAGGATGAAAGTCTTCCTTCTTACACAGCATGCCCCAAGTGCCTAATTTGAGCCTTCATGTGAGAAAGAAATATGATGCCATTTTGCTTTATTTGTTTTCCCCATATTTTCTTGTTTTGGAAGGATTTGAATTTTTCAAAAGCACTTGGTAATGCTTCCTACTGATTCACCATCTTATTTCCTCTCCCTTTCCTTCTCTTATGTTAGAAAGGGTTTGCAACATGAGAAAAGGACCAGAGGTTTGAACGAGCAGAAAATCAAATTGGCTCCTATATCTTGTGTCCCTGCTGATTCCACCTTGCCTTCTGTAACTGTTCAAAACCTCAAAAAGCCTTCTGTAGCATGCTCTTCTATTTTTTTTTTTTAGTTCAGTTTAGTTTAGTTCAGCCCTTCTCTCTTTTTTTTCAGTTCAAGATAGAACCTACTCATCATTTTGCTTTTCAAATGATTATTTTTTTTACAACTAACAGTTCCCCAAGGTAGTTGTTATTTTAAATAAATTTTATACTATCACTTTTTTTTTTTTTTAATTTGGCATATTCTAAACATACTCTTCCTAGCAGGTACATTTTAAATATACATCTTTCACCTTATCTCTGGCTGGATTAATGACTGTATGAAATTGGCACATTAAGAATATTATTTTATGCTTTGTAGTCTGTAGTGCATGTCAGTTTAATACTATAAAATACTGTATATTTTGAAAGATGAACTAACTGATAATGATATTTTCATTTAACATGAGTTTCTTAAGCCCCTACTTCCAGCAGACCCTGTGCTGGGCCCTGGAGGGGACCACAGCATGCAAGACAAATACAGTGCCTTTCTCATGGAGGCACAGTCACCCAGGGGAACAGACAATTAATGCAAAAGATTGTAATAAAGTATAAGTCATTCTAGCTTGGAAAGACATTACAAAGGCATCTAACCTGATCTAGAAGGAATGAGGGAGGTTCTGCAAAGGGTGTGTTTAAACTGAGACCTGAATGATGAATAAGGTAGACGGATAAAGATGTGAGAAAGAGTTCCAGTCAGAGAAAATACATGCAGAAAATCCTAGAAGTGAGCAAACATGTTCAAATAATGGAGGTTCTTTTTTGGAGGCTGGAGAAGCACAGGTCATGTTGAGTTGAAAAACAAGGTTTTGGTAGGGGAGGAAAAAGTTTTCCTGAACCCTCTTAGGGTCCTTGGCTAGGTCTGAAAATTAAAATGAGAAAGATAAATTGATAGGAGAAAAGTATACAAATTGATTTAATATAAGTTCTCTGAGACACGGAAGCCTTCCTAAGGACATGGAGTCTAGAAGAAACAGACTTGAGTATTTTATGCGAGGATTGATGAAAGGTAGGTAGTTGTGTAGAAATCTGGTAGATTAAGGAGTATGAGGTAAGTATAATAAACAAATTTAACAAGTCCTATTTGTTAGGTGTCTTCTTTGTGTTGCTTCCCTTTGATAAGGACGTCTCTTTCCTCTGGATATAAGGAAGGCACCTTTCATATGAGGCTTTTATCACCTGCATCAGGGGATCAAGGTTCTGAAAGGTCCAAGTGACTTTTCTGCTTCTGCCGTAGTCTCAAAGTCCTTCAGCTTAAAATACTCAGTCTGGCCAGGTGCCATATTTTGCTGCCATGTGTCCTGAACCCCACTAGGCTGAAGAGGGCCTGATAATATAAATCTTTTATTTTTCATCCTAAGGGAAATAGGAAAGGCCATTGAAGAGTTTTCAGCATGGAAACAACAGTATCTATCAGACTTGCCTTTTAGAAAGGTCACTCTGGCTTTTATGGGTCAGAGTGCAACACAACTGGACGTGATGAGACCTAATCGTTAGGGAACTGTTGCAGCACCAGACAGAGATGTGACCTGACACAGGGATTTCATGGCCGTGGCCTAGAGCCTCAAGTGATTGAAAAGATCATTTTCTCTCTCTCCTTAATTTTTTTATTCTACATTAACAAACTTAAGTAAATTCAAGTATCTCAAAGGAATTTCCCATAAGTCTCAGATTTTGAAATGGTTTAAAATATTTTGTTGACTAAAGCACATTGACCACCATAGGCTTTATTACCCCTTAACTATTTAAATCCACAAATATAGCCTTCTCTCTCCTTTACATTAGAACTGTTCATTCTGATGTTACAGAACTGTTATAACAACCAACCAAAATAACTTATAAGAAAATGCCTCAAAAATTAAAATATACAATATAAGTGATTATGATTATAAAACATAAATATATTAGGGTATAAAAATCACATGACAAATGCACTGACTGTATTTTCCTTTAAATGATAGGATCTGCAAAAAATTTTTTCTAAGTGTGGACTTTATTTTTTTTAAGGGAAAATGTTCATAGCAATTCCACTGAACTCCAACTGAAATATTTGGGTCTTGACTATACCTGTCATTTAAATTCATATTTTTGTCATATTTTCTCATAGACTGAATTCAGTTTATACAAAACAGTATTATATAAAATACTGTTTTCTTAGAAACAGTTAAGTTAGCATCACTGTGCCATACTGCCATATTGCCAATCTTGTTCTTCACAGCAGTTTATATCAGTATGTTTTTAACTCTTTCCTCCAAATGAATTATATTTCTAAATGTTACTAAAATGTATCAAGTGCACTGCATCTTAAATATGTAACTTTGAAGGAATCATTGGTTTTCCTTAAATTCAGAAAAACCCTACGGTTTCAATTATTTGTTGTTTTTTCCCTGAGTGAATAACTTTTAACTGAATTGCTGTAACAGTACAAGCATAATCAGGAAGTTGGAGCCCTTAAACAATCAAGGCTTCCTAATTAGCACATAGACTGTGTGGCCTGAAACAGTAACCGTCTGCTGTTATCTGTTAACTTCAGAATATCTTAGATACACAGAGAAGTGAAATGTTCCAGAATCTTTCCATTTCCTTTTTTAATTTAATCACATTCTTATGGAAATACTTTTTTTTTTAATCAACATTTGCAAATATAAATCCCCAAAGGGGTTTGTTCCTAGTATGATAGATGAATTGGTGTATAAACATTTGCCTTTGGACTTGTTTTATGAAGTGAAATGGTCACAGCTCGTTTACAACTTAAAATTTAAATGTCAAAGTGAGAGAGGAAGATCAGATTATAAATATGAGGCATGGGTCTGTATAGGAAGCCAGCTATTGTCATATTCAAATGTAGTACTTAGATGTGTGAATTTACTTGGAGACAGTTGATATCAAATATAAAACAGGTATCTCCAAGTGAACTCTAAATAAGTAAAATGAAGCTATTTCCATTTTGTCCTATATGACCAATAATTGAGAATAAATTTCACTTATTTTTAAACAAGAATTAACAAAGCATTACAACAAAATTCCAAATGAACAT